AACGGCGCCCAGAGAGTCTTAATCAGCACTTGATTCACAAAGTGTCTTTTATTGGTGATAGCCAGATACAGCAGAGGTGACAGCTGGATTGCTCGGAATCTGGTGGATTGGTGGACATCCTGAGCCTCAGCGCAATGTTGCACGAACTGAGCCATCACCCCATGAAAAATATCTTCGAGACCACACGCGGTGGGACCTCAGCAATAAGGTCATAGGAGTGAAAATATGCCCGCCATCAAAAGACGTGCAAAGCTGTAGGCTAAGAGCAGTTGTTCCAGGGTTCACATGAGCAACAAATACCCTGTCTAACGAATTGAGGTGTAGCGACACCCATTGCGGGGCAAAAGGGAGCTCATTTCACGCAGCGAAAGCTGAATACTGCATCACAAAAGGGTGCAGGAGTGGTGGGGATAATCGGAATGAATAGGACTGTATTCAAATATGACGCGGAACCGCCTGTCATAACGCTTTTTGAGCCAGTCCCGAAATTGACTAAACGTTTTATGCAATAACGTTCCTGTGAGTGCGGCTGTGATTCAAAGTAAGCCGGTAGCTGAATCAGGAGAGCTTCTTTAGAAGACTGATGCTTCCGAAGGGGTATATTTTTAATCATTCCAGGACAGAGTTGTTTACCATAAGAGATGATACAGTGAATGTTTCGCGCTAACCATCCCTTAGAACATTTGATGATTTCAAGTTTGCCATTGAAATTGGAAGGATTGGCCAAATATCATTTCGGGTAGCATGAAATAGGAACAAACTTTTTCAGGAGTGTGTATTTATGGAGCAGACTCATACAAATCAAACACTAAGGTATAGGACGGATCATCTTGTAAGCCACAAACAAAATTTGCATTCCAGCTGTATTAAAAGAGGTACAGAAGCAATACAGTAGGGCAATCTCAGACAGCAAAATAAAATATACCCCGTGTGTATCTCAAGACAACGATTACGACAGCCAGATTTACCAGAAGTTTGAAGAATGATCCCACACGACAGCAGGCGGAACAGCAAACTCAACCAATAAAGCAGATAAATCTCCCGTAAACCAAGAATATATCTAAGCTTACAACGAGCCCACCGCAACCGGACGGAGTTCTAGTAGCACATACGGCGGGAAAATAATATATATGCTAATGAATACTGAAGGATTCAGCGCGGATTGCCACGTGTATTAAATGAGACAGAATGCAGGCTGATTCCCCACATATGTAGAAGGATACTACGAAAATTATGGAACTGCTTTGCAGCGTTCGTTCATCATTGTCTATCATTCAGTGAATGTCCCGGAAAGTTCATGATAAGGCTTGAGAATGTTAACTTTTCGAAAACTCTGTGCAGATGAGGCTTTCACTTTCGTTTGTAATGTTTTGTAGCCATTCGTCTTTTCTAATGAATAAAGTTCGCGGTAAAGGGCCTTATTTTTTTCACAAGGTGACAATCAGAGCTACGTAGATCCATTGAGCAATGTTTGATGCTCCGCTCCCTGAATTTTAAACATGAGGTGTTCTCTAAGACCCTTGAGGAGGGCAGACAACCATGTGCATCAGAGTAGCACATGCGTGAATGTTCTTAAGCTAGGTATTGACCCATGGTTCTAAATACTTAATATGCAAATACGATAGTTCTGCGTGGCCTGGATAAGTGCAGTTAACCAACGAAATGGCCATTAGCATTTATTCTTCCAAGAGTTGATCAAAATATCCGTCGCAACAAGCTGATTACTGTAGAAACCCTCTTGCTGTGTGAATATGGTTATTTTTAGTCCTTTCTACAGAAAATTTTTGCGTTAGTTGGCAATAAAAAGCCCCGAAATAACTAGACCAACGAGTATCAGGATCAATGTCAATCAGACATTGACGCAGTTTCCGAGTTGAAGACATACGTTTTAGTTCATCGCGTCGGGCCAGAGTTTGTTCGATAAAACTAAAGGGAGGACCGTTTTCTGCGTTGTCACGTATAGTGTTCACCTCTGCTGAAAATACACTGACGTTTTGGAGGCAATCAACAAAAGAATCCGTTGATTCCAAGGGTGGGGTATTGAATGGTTGAATGATTAGTACTCCCCGTAGTGACTGTTGAAGATAACCAGGGATTACAAATCCAAACCGCCCATTTAACCGAATGGTGTTGATCACATCTGATGAAATTTCACAAACACACCAAACTTTCTTGGTTGTGCACCAACCATGAGTGAAAACTGTCATGTAATTCAGTGTCTAAGGACTAGCGATTTGGTTGTGGCACACCGCAACAATGAGCTCTGAGAGCAAAGCTGGAACAGCTAAGGATATTTCCCCTTTTCGTCATTACCTCAGGATGCTAAATTGACGTCGGTATATTGGCATTTATGAATATGTGCATAGTGAATAAATACGTAGTCATATATATAGATATGGATATATTAATAAATATAGCACTAAGTACAAGGCAATTTGTTGGGCTAAAAGCACATGCCACGTTCGTTTGCCTGAATTGCTTGTGTCTGAAAGGCTCCCTCATCGAACCATAAGACGTGCCTGTCTGCATTTCTTATCCTATCATATTCCAGGCAGTTTTTAAAAGAAGTGAATCTCCAATTGTAATAGTCGCGGTAGTCAATTCGGATAGTTATCCAAATGATGGTTCCGCAGTTCGCCGAACTACGAAGCGGAATATCACATTTCCGATCGGTAACATTTCACATAACGTGGGTTAAACAAATGGTCACTAGAGATTTCCAGCTTTGTCTGCATTTGCTGAGAAGTTCGTGTGCGGGCATGGAGGCGGGGAACACGTTCGAAATTCAGCAGCAATCCATCCTACCGGAATCCACGACAAAGCGAAGCATTAAAAAATGTGGGATGCGAGGGAATAATCGATACCTGGAAGTAAAATGCAAGTGTTTTATGTACTGACACAAATTAGTTTGGTTATAACTCTTGTGAGTGTCTTAGGTACTGGTTTCTACACTCACGACAGAGTTGAATCTGAGCAAAAAAGAGCATTTCGAGCAGTTCAGGGATAAATACCAGTTTGAGAATAAGATATTTCCATCAACTCGCGTCACCCGCTTGGAGGGCTACTAATGGATCTGAAAAGTCTGGATAGTTTCAAATATTAGTCCGCTCACCTGCCCAGAGAGACATGGATGTTTCACCGAATCCGCTAATTGATTGCATATGTTTCCGCCGTATTAACACAAAATTGGGCCAGTTTTACCAACTTCTATGACGAACATGGAAGGACACCATAATGAACCAAACCAGGGAAAACATCCGCCGAGTAATCTGCAGGTCAATTATGACGTACAAGCATGCCACTGTGGGACATTACGGCGTCTTTAAGACTGGTCCCTTCCAACCCACGACAAACCGTGTACTGCATGATAGTGCAATGAGGACACTCACCGGATCATGTATTTCAAACTTGTTTCATTCCATCTAAGAAGGAACAATAACTATAAGAAAAACAAAACAAAGTATTTGTGAATACCACTTGTCACAGATAAACCATTAATGAACTAGAAAGTCTACACACATTTATAACGTTGACATATGGAGTAGCCATTATGCGGACCGTCTCTTGCCCTATGTTGCTGTTTACGTTTGTAAAGCCGGAGGTTTAGTTTCGGGCAATCGCAAACGTTCAAGGTAGTCAGGTGCGCCACCCAATATCAAAAGGCGGGCATTCGGCGCCTATATCATTAGTGACAGCATAACGTATTTCCTATTTTAGTCGGACAATTTTGGATTGAGAATAGTGAACGAATTTGCCCGAATCACAAACGTTTGCTAGAAACTCTCACGTAAATCAAACGCTCATCGATAAAATCGGCTTCGATCATGTAGGTTGGGGACAAAAGAAACAATACTACATATTTTCACCATTGCACCAAAAAAATCACGAACACTGCAGAATCCAAGGATTGAATAAGTGCACTCACAAAATAGGGAACAGTGATAAAGTACACCCCGGCATGATATTTTACGGAAAGTGAGGGTTGTTCGTTTGTCCGTTGAGTTGGGCTGGGCTATTTGATTGCAATCAAATTGGCAAACAAACGAACGACGATGCTACGTGAACGTGTAGAAAACGACATAATATGGCGCTACAAAATCTCATGTGATATAAAATGAAATATATGGTACGTAACCTTTTACTGGGTACATTGCAAATTTTCCGTCTGCAGTGTTTTACCATGACCTGTTTAGCTTGTTCACAGAATTACATATCAGTGTTGAACATGGGTTCATATGATCATCCATAAACCACCACCATGTCGAGCTACACTGGAAAAACGCTAGTGCACACTTTGTACGCATTGAGATGGTGTTATTTGTGCGTGAGCCTGAAATAATTGCAGACTGGCTTACTTTCCTCCAATTTGCATGATTCTTTGAACGTGAACATATGTCGGATGATTTCTCAGGCAAAATAAAATTCCCAAATAAATATAAGTAACTGCAGGCAGCAATGATGTGATAATTTGGTACAAGAAATTCGAAAAGTCTATCCATTTTCCACTCAGCTCAGAGTAACTGCCAAAGGAATGCAGTAATGCTTGCTTCTGGCTACGAATAAGGGAGGAAAATAGTTTTGATCTGGAAGAGAATACTGCCAGAACAGTTCGATTCTATTCAACACACCGAGTAGGTTAGCGAAGCGGAATGATATGAGTGTACTTCAAGTGCTTGAAGTCGAGTGGACTGTTAAAACGCATATTACTGCGACTTCAGTAAACGGAACTGAACTCACCTCGGCAGTCATTATAAGCGACTGTGCACACAACTGTGGGTTGGGAATAGTGAAAAACATTATTGAGGACACCAGATCGAAGAGAATGGCTCAAGTTAAGAGTTGCAGTGTAATTTGACAGTACCATTAGTTTTTTGGATTTACCACTGTTACTTGCGCGCATTTTCAGTTGTTGCATGGGGTTGTTGCACCTGAAAGGGCGCGTATTCTATACTATGCAGTAAAATATAAATTCGAAACACGTTTACACCCAACACACGGTAATGTGTCCTTCTGTTGGCGAGTGTTCCGCAACCTATGCAGGACGTCTTAAACGATGCCTATCAATCATTATTTTGCAGTCCGGCGGGTGTTCTCCTAAGGAGCCAAGTGAGTGACACCTTGATGCCCACTCCTTCCGTGCAAATCACGAGATCAATCCGTTCAAATGCATCGATTCAATCTATCGAATATGGCCAAGTCTACCCAGAACCATCCAACAAAATGTACGTGCAGCGGTTAAAACAATTGCAATCAGACAATGGCAACCGACCTTTCGTCATCAGAAGAGTGACCAAAAGCGCAATCTACCTGGCCCCAACAAAACTCTAGGTTAAAATGGCTGTACTTTTGAGGTGCCAGTGGCCCCATAATTTCCAGGAGGATTCAAGTGAACAAATGCAGTGACCAATTGTGTCACATAGTGCCATTTGCCTGAACACTCATTCATTTATTTGTGGATTACGGATTACTTTTGACTGCATCGAATTCGTTTGGATGCAATTTTTGTTTAATATTGGGCTAGGCTTATTGGTCAGAGTTTAAAATATCTTCCGAAATCGGCAAAAACTCTGACATATCTACTCCAGCTATAAGAATGGCAGTAGATGTGGTGTTGATGGATGCGAAGACTTCTCCCCAGAGTAAGCTGTCAGAAACATTCATTAATGATATTTTCAGAATGGTCGTCAAACTGCCGATAGGGCGAACCACATTTTTGGTTGTCAACAGTTTGCTTTGCGAACTGTAATGACTGAGCTGAATGCACTCATATGCAGGCCAACTTGGTTTCAACGCGGATTCCACCTTTAAACCGGGTCAATCTCTCGTTTATGATGCTTTTAAGGAACTGAATGTGCTAAATCAGGCCGTCTCATTTTTCATTTGATGATATATTCGAGACGTCTCGATACATGTATAGGCGTGGGAGAGAGATTCAGCTGGGCTCCATTTGAGCCTCCCATCAAAACCAATTTTGGTGTGTATTTTGCTGATATCGTGCAATTAGAGTTCATGATATCTCAATCAATAGTAAGCCACTGCTGTATGAATTAAATGCCTGACATTACGGACGATCTAAGTACAACAAACGCGTATAATGGGACACCGTCAAAGTTATATGGTGGAAACTCGCACGCAGTACTCGAAATCTCAAAGGGAAATGTAGAACTAATTAGGTCGAGAAGTAGTTTTGATTTTTGTTGAGGGAAATTTGTCAAGTGACTGTGCTACGTGTACAAGAGAAGCTGATTAAATGGTTTCCCCAAAATTGATAAACATGTGCTTACTCAGTGATATCAGTATCACCACAGCACCTTTTACTGTTTCAAATGTACAAGAAGGAACGCTTCGTTTTTCGTGAATAGCCCGGATTATTTTTGTGAATGAAAATAAAATCTTTTGAAATGACTTGATATGGAATGTGTTAAAGTCATTTAGGAATTTCAAAGTCTTTTGAGAGTTACCAAGTGACATAAGATATCAAAGTGAAGTTCAGTTCATTAGACCTCTGATGTTCTTTACAAACTTCAACAAATATATGTATATTAATAGTATCTATATGAAATTCACAAGCACAACGCAATTCCAAACTCAGTTCCAAATAAGCTTGATACATCGAGGAAACAAATCGCGGGACAGCTAAGTGTCTGCTGAGTGCGCCGGAAGACCACAAGCCAGCAGGTGTATGATTAATGTTAAATTGTAGCTAATTTACAGAGACTTACAGAGACTTCCCGTTTGGAACTATTTCTTCACAAAATCGTGCTTACTTGTGAGTGTATTCGTCCATTTCTCGGAGCGGTTTTAGGTAACAGATATGTTCTAGATTCTTCCTATTACTTTACCGTTGAATCCTTGACCCATCCTTCCAACAAATCAAGAAATTGTTGTGAATTTTCTATTTGCTTTTCTATCTAGACAGCTACGAAATTAACGGTTGACGCTAACTGGATATGTGCATCAAACCGTCACAGAATATCTGAGGGTAAACCCCACATGCTATATTATTCCTCGAGGTTAATTTTCGAAGCAATGTTCTGATTGTGGTTTGGTTCTGGCAGCCAAAATATCACGCCACTTTTTGACGCTTTTACATGAAATTACCAAAACGCACCTAAATGTGTGGCAATAACTGGGTGATCGTAATCCAGCGAGACCACCGGATAATTTTCAGTGTTAGTGAATGAAAGAGATGGTGAACAATACGACATGGGAACATTCATATCAAAGATGGTTCTTCTAGCCTGTGGATACTCGTATTGCCTTAATTTATATAGTTGGTCTCCTAAAGGCCCTGATAAATGGAGTGTGAAAATTGTCCCCTGTGATTTCAACGCCAAATTGACTTCTTCGTAGTCCTGCGAGAAAACCTAGTGGTTAGTGACAAATTAAATAATTGCAGTAAAGTGCCTTCTAGGGCAAATCTCAGTCAAGTATGTGTTCAAGTTGACAAGAAGTAGAGCAAGAAGTAGAACTCATTTAAATTAGAGCCTAAGACAGGTTAGCGGAATTTATGCTGAAACTGATCGGACGAACACCATGGATACGGGAACCAAAATCAGACATTGCTTATGGAATCACACAATGACAAAAGTGATTCGACCCTGCTATCCTTATTTCGATCCGCCGACAGCACTAACTGTGAGCATTGATCTTGCCAACGGAACATTCCGATGGTTTTCTGTATCTTTTATCACCATTCCCACTGTGATACAGTCACTGGAACTGGCTCAAACACCATACCATTTGTATTGAAAACATTTCGCTGAGGTGGTTTCTTTTAAAAAAAAACTGATTTCTACTAATTCCAAGGTTTTTAGTTAAAAATTACAAAGAACGTGTAACCCACATATGCACTCTCGCCAGTGCGTTTCACACCGCTCTGCAAAGAAATGAGAACAAGTTTAGTCAAAGACTGATAAATTTCATACTCAAACACCAACCATTTGTATTGAAAACATTTTCGCTAGGTGGTTTCTTTTTAAAAAAAACTGATTTCTACTAATTCCAAGGTTTTTAGTTAAAAATTACAAAGAACGTGTAACCCACATATGCACTCTCGCCAGTGCGTTTCACACCGCTCTGCAAAGAAATGAGAACAAGTTTAGTCAAAGACTGATAAATTTCATACCCACATCACTCGCTTGAACAGTTTTCCTTCCGTCCTACACCAGGACAGGAGGAGGGCTTTGTAAACGAGGGTGACGTGAGCGTGACTACTACATATTCCTCGAATAATACATGACATGCCGACCGAAGATTGAATGAGGGTGGTGTATGTCTGATGAACGCGCTCGGACTTGAGGGGCGTCAAATTGGATCGCACACTGCTTCAGCGCAGAGTGCCTTCTAATAGTAAGTAGAAAATAATTGTATTTAACAGTTATGTTAATTCAAATACTGATATCGAATCAATTAGGTTTATATGTGAACGAAACTAGTGGCTGTTTTTTAAAATTATGTTTTACTACCTCTACTCACCCACGCACACAGGTTGGTAGAATTGTGCGCCCGAAACTTCCAAAAAAAGTAAATAGTTGATATAAGCTTTTCTGCTGTTTTTGTCTACTGAACGGCCACTCTCTAAATTAAAATATGTACAAGCTTCAACCCATAGGAACACTTGCCATATAGTTCACGAAATATGTCAGCTTTACCATCATTATTTACATTCGGTTAAAGAAACTACTGGAACTACTGTTTGTATGCACTGCTTTTTTAGAAAAAGCGGAAAACCAAACTATCCAGAACATGAAACATGAACACGGCGAAATGTGTTCCAACTGAGGAGCTAAATTGATCAACAACAAAGGTCATTTAGCTGAAAAGTGTTTAACCTCACCCACAAGTATCTGGGCCACAGAATCCATATTACAGGCCACTTTAGGCTAACAAATAGTTCATATCAATAGACTGAATGATTTTACATGAAAGATTTATCTTCAGACTGTTAGGTTCTAGGCAAGGTATGATAGCTTTATATATATTGATAAATGTTCATCAACAACAACATCAATGAGCTTCATCAACGGGTCACCGTCTCGGGCTGCCCATGGTACGCTCAACTAGACGGATCATTAACTTCACACTCTAAAGGAGATTTCACAACTAACAAGAAAACAATAGTGAAAACACAAACGCGGCTTTTCAAGAAAATGTTTCTAGTTAACTTTAACAATCAGCAACTGATTTCCCTGAAGATGTCGGCTACTCTGGTGGGATTCTGGAGGATAGACGGCTCAAGTCAGGAAGCAACACTAATTTGACTGTACCAGAGAACATGTTGGTAATTACACTGTCATTAATTAGTGGAATAACTACTATCATGGCAGCACATTTAAGGCCATCAAGTTTGGAGTCATGTGTGATGATGCAGAGGGGGAGCGATGAGTGTGTACCGAAATTAGCTACGGCAAAAGTGGTACGCAACACTGTGGTATGTTCTGGCATGATGAAGTCATTTGATTGTCTGTGGTCCTGTGTGTACGCGCGCATGTCTCAGCCACATCAGGTTGCAAGTGTATTCGATGTACGTAATGTGAAAACACTATGGGAAATCACTTGAATGTTGCACAAAGAAAACTGGGTCAAGGTCGTGCGCATGGTACGTGATGCAGTTGATAACACAGTAAACAGAATAAATGAACAATGTTAACCGTACTTTTATGGATCAAATAAAGCGGTGATTGAAAAATTTGTTAAGCAAAGTGGAGATGATACACATGTTCTGGAAATTGCCAGTGATCTTCCACTGCCTCTCACGATGCATGGTCACTTACCAAATACGACTGTTGAATATCTGACTACGTTATATAGTCGTGCCCATTTGAAATCGGCGTTCAAGATTGAACCTTTCAGGGATTACAAGTAATTACGCACGGATGAGGCCGGATGACATTCGCCTGTAAAATTCCTGTTTGTTTCAGCTAGAGAAGTTTTGTTCCAATCGTATCCAAGGATATGGATAAGAACTCGGCCTAATGACTGACAACTTAAATCTGGACACTTGATGTTACAATACGCACAGTTGTGTTGAACTGATCTGAGTCGTACAGGTCGACATCAGAAACCCAAAGCGTAAGCGCTGCTTACAAGCTTACAAGCAGATC